TTCTCCAAGTCCTTGTTCAGCAGCTGCTGCTCCGCTGACTCTGGACCTTTTCAGTTCTCAATGGCAGGGGTAAAAGTGACCTGTTGTGTGGCATGTATTCCCAGGGGATTTCTCCATGTCAGAATGATTTATGCACATGTGTGGGTGGGCCTCCACAGCCAGTGCATGGTGGGCCAGTTGTGTCATTGTGTGCCATCTGTGTGCCATGATAGCGCTAAATTATGAGGCGGTGGCTGGCCTGATGGATGGCGCATGCCAGTGCGCCCTGCCACAGTGCCTGCGAGTCTGGGGGCCGGCCTGAAGGCTGGCGCTCCCTGCCATATGGCTTCCTGAGCACTGGGGGCCCTCCTCCCGGGTGCCTGTGAGGCTGGGTGCCGGCCCATATTTTTTATTTTTTTTTGGTACCAGGAATCGAACTCACAACCTCATGCTTGCCAGGCAGGTGCTGTGCGGATAAGCTATATCCCCAGCCCCTGACCCACTATTGTTGAAAAAGAAAATTGTGCTTCAAGTTGGTGATATTTAAAAGTACTGTACCCCTCCCCCTGCTTTGGAGTAGAGCAGATCACTGGGCCTAAATGCTAGATCTGCAACTTATAAATTATTTAACTTCTGTATACCCCATTTTTCTCATACTTTTGTTTATAAAAGCAACATCTCATTTAGCTTACATGTGAGTGAAATATAAAAGTATATGTGAAACCATTAACTTAGTGCCTGACACATTATAGGTGATCAATAAAGGTAAGTTATTACTAAAATTATCATGTTCTCCCTGGGGAGGCAGAACCTATAGGGAAAGGATTTGACAACACAGACAATAACATACAAATGATAATGTACCAGGGCATACCATGGGAAAAACTGTGTTTTAGAGCACAAATAGCCTCTAAGAAAATCCAAAACATGTTTTCATGTCTTCTAAGCCTTCTTGCATAGTCTCAGGTGGATATCCAGATTATTTCCAGCTGTGATTCTAAACCCATGAATTTCTTGGAATTCAGCACTTGAGATCCAAAGGTAAACAACAGATTGGGCAAGGCCTTCAGCAGAAAAGGCAGTTTTAGTGGCGGGGTCTGGTTTATACTTAAGTGATTACAAATTTCCTTTGACAGCTTGTAGTGGGAGTGGTTCTCTTGCAAAATTCCAAGGGAAATGTTCTCTGGACAGTCTTACTTGTCTTCAAGTGGGCCATCTCCTACATATTTTAATTTTAAAGGTCTCTGCCCCAAGTTTTATTTTCCCCAGATGTCTGATATTAAAAATCTTATAATGTGTTTCATGTTAGTAATGTCTTTTGTTTACCAGGTGAAATAAAAATATTCTTGATGTTGGTCAAGGACCTGCTGGTCAACTTCTACTCTCCTCCTCACTACGGTTACTACCAGCTTGACCCAAGCCCTGAATCTCGACTGTCTTGTTTGGATCTCTGTCTCCTGTGGCTGTATCTATTTTTCAGTTTTGTTCGTAAATTTCTCTAGGAGAGAAGGGATGAAAAGAGTTTGAAGAACACTAATTTAACTTGACTCTTAAAATTTTTTGCCTAGCACAATGCTATTAAAAAGAGGTGAAAAGTAATTATTGTTTTTGGTTTTTAGGACTTGTTTTTTCTTCCCATAACCCAGGATGGTATTGTGGTCTCCAGTATCCTTCCAAGATTATAAATTGCAGGAGTGGACTATGATTGTTTCAGACAATTCCAGACCTTCTGGAACAACTGCAAAAGGCAACATAACCCTGTGGAAACTAAGAAGGAAAAAAATTCCTCAACAGTCTCAGAAACTGATCTTCAGTGGCCAGTGATTTGAGATATAGAAGATTAGACTTACCAAGTTTAAAAAGAGTACAGTCCCGACACAAAAACTATCCGGTAAAATGTACATTCAACTTTGGTGAGTCATTTCTTTTTTTGTTTTGTTTTGTTTTGTTTTTTGAGACAGGTCTTGTGGTGTAGTTCAGACTGGCTTTGAATTCACTCTGCAGCCAAAACTGGCTTTGAATTTGAGACAATCTTCCTGCCTCAGCCTCTTGAGTACTGGGATTACAGGCATGTACCACCATATTGGCCTAGCAGAGTGTCACCTTAGTACCTTGCTAGGCTCCTCAGGGCTCAAAAGTCCCTGGAAATGAGTCCTTAACAGTGGAAAGTTGCTGTTGAGAATCTTCTAAAACAAGTCCATGGGGTTTTGATCTGCTAAACTTTAATCTAGACTAACAACATCCTTCTTTCTCACATTTTACGATTTAATTTCTTTGGTTGTTTCTATGAACTTAACAGTTTAGCATGTAGGGTAAGACCTAAAACTAAATCTTTTCTTCTTCCATTTCCACTAGGAACTAATTTTGAGATATATTCGAGGTAACAGAAAATAATTTCTGGGAAGCAAGTCTTCAGTGAAAAAAAGTAGGGCCCAGAGGCCAGAAGTCGGGACAAGATGTTTAGGTCTGATCAAATTAAAACGCGGAAGCTACTGTAGTGCTTTCCGGCAAGGGAAACAGATATGCTCCATGTGAAAGAAAGCTCACCTAGAATACCACTAGGTTACCAGGACTTTAGTCACAGCACGTTACAAGAATCTAAAAACGACACGAGGCAGGGTCGCAAGAATCGGATATTTCCACGCGCCTGGAGCAAAAAAACCCCGTATTTCAGGGTTTAGGGCATAATGAAACACGCCAAAATATGCTAAGAACAGTTAAGTGACATTTCATATTGACAATAAAGCTGAATAATTTTTCATTTTCCACTGTAAATAAACAACACCGTGAAAAGAATGACCCTTGACTGAATTTTAGAAATGACAGAAGATGCCCGTCAAGAGAAGAAAGAGAAAGCAAAAAAGCGAGGCGGGCGCGCATTCGTAGCAACTCGGCCCGCAGGGTTCCCGGAGCCAGGCAAACAGCTCCGCCCGCGCGCTCCCTGAAGTCTGCAGGCCGGACCCGCCTCAGGGCAGTTTGGCTCCGCCCTACTCCGGCAGGTCCGTCCGGAGAAAACGAGGCGGGACTTCCGGCGTTTGAAAAACTTCCGGCGGGAACCGGAAGATGGGGTAACACACACAGAATCCCGGGTCTCCGGACGCGCCGGGCGCAAAGGTGAGCCGTGCGTCCGCCTGGGCGGCGTCTTGCGGGCGTGCACAACCCTGCGTCCGGGCTCCGGCATTTTTGGGGCCATTTAAAAAATTCAGACCGTACGTTTGGGAAATACCTCCTCCCCGCTTTTTTTGTCTTTTTCAAACAGGGTCTCACTATGCAGTTCAGGTTGGTCTTGAACTCACTTTGTAGCCCAGGCGGGCCTCGAACTCAGCAATCCTCGTGCCTCAGCCTCCCGAGTGCTGGGATTACAGGCTTGCGCCACCACGGCCGGCTCTAATACCCCTTTTTAAACGTGAAAAGTTGCATTACGTTTTTCTGTCGGCGGTCTATAGCTCACAGTCTACACTCGGAAAAATCCCTCTGGCTGCCGCGTGTCACCTGGCGCGTCTTCTGTCTACTTGCAGAACCTCCTATCGCACAGGGACAGACATGGGAAAGCCGGGGCAAACCTAGATTTGTTTTTTACCTGAAAGGATCAGCGGTGGGGGAGAAAGCACCTTTTCCATCCTTCCGATCGTGGTTTTGTCTGCATCAACTGCATCTTCAGCGGGGCGTCTAGGCGGCGCTTGAGTTTGAATGAATGGAAACTATGCAACTCTCCTAGAGCCTCCGTAAAACAGCCTGTGCGGAATGTGAAACAAGGCTAGTTTTGGTATTTGGGGCTCTAGGTTCTATTCTTTTGCCGTGTATTTCTTCTCTGAGTAAATCACATCATTGACTCTCAAGCCTCTTGAGAAAGAACACAGGGCTGTCTGATCTCAGGCTCTTTGCCACTCTCGCATTTTGTTCTAACGACTTGAGAATCTGTGCTAACATTCCAAATACTTCGGTTGCTTAGCTCAGGGAAACTTCTTTGTTTTTTTTTTTTTTTTTTTTGGTAGCGGGAATCAAACTCAGGACCTTGGGCTTGCCAGGCAGGCGCTTGTGCCGCTGAGCTAAATCCCTGGCCCAAGCTCAGAGAGACTTCTTCAGGTGCTTCTTAAGAAGTTGTTGGGTTTTTTTGCCTTTTTGAGACAAGGTCTCACTGTGAAGTTCAGACTGGCCTTGAGCTCACTTTGTAGCCCACGCTGGCCTGGAACTCTCAAGGATCGTCCTGCCTCAGCCTCCGGAGTCCTGGGATTAGAGGCGTGCGCCACCAGGCCCAGCTCAAGAAGTTGTTCTTGTCCACTCTTATTGAAATTTTAGGGTTTTCTGCCCTATTTTAAAATGTGTGTGTGTGTGCCCTCCAATTTATTGATTTGGAATATACTCACATGCCTACAAAGATATCTTGCAAGAGAGAAAAATCTGAAATCACTAAAGATTAGCAACGTTCTTATGTGCTATCACCTTTTTCAGAGATCATTAGGTGCAATGTATGGCATAGTCTGATAGTGATGGAAAATAAATTTATATTCTGTAGAGACCATATTTGCATGTATTCTTGTTTCTTTAGTAGTAGTAGAGCAGCCATTGCTAGGCTGGAAGTGAGTAAAGTAGGTGTGCCCTTCCTTCACGGTGTTACTGAATTAAGGGGGATTTGGACAATAACCAAGTAAAATAATTTTAGGTTATGTTTCATACTACTATGTAAAATAAACAGAGTTCTTTTAAAATACGGTATGACCGAGAAACTCATTTGAGGCCTAAAATGTTGAGATCTAAGGAATAAAACCGACATTTAATGCGCAGGGAAGAGAGCTTCATATAGAAGAAACCTGAGGTGGGAAAGAATCATGCTGGTTGCAGGCACTCAGAGACTCGAACTAAAGCCGAGGAGCTCCACAAGTGATGAACGTGGTTAGAAAGAGAAGCTGTGGTCAGTCTCATAGGGCACCTTATCGAGCCAAGTTTGCTGCTGAGTTGAAGAGGAGGTGGGAAGTCATTGGTATGTTTAAAGCATTGTCTAAAGGATCTTTTGTTTTGATATGTAAAGAATGGTCTCTAGGGACAAGAGAGGAAGCGGGAGCATAGGCAAAGTGCTATTGGCAGTACCCAGATTAGAAATGGAGACTGCTCTGGTTTGAATATGTCCTCCAAAAGTTCACAAGTTGGAAACTAGGTTCCACTTTTATATACTGATGGTATTCATGACTTACTAATAGACTGGCCAGGGAAGATAAACAAGATTGCAGTGTTTTTGGCTTAGCAAATGGAACTTTGGAGGATAATAAGTATGTTCATCATCCTGAGTGTGTGTACGTGTAGCAGAACTTACCAGATTTGAGCACTTTCAACATGTGCGATATATTGCATGCTGGTTGTTAAACAATTTCCCAAGGTTTTGGCTTAGCAAATAGGTGAAGAGTGGTACCATTTACTGAGAGGGAAAGACTAGGGTAGGAATGGGTTTTAGGACAAGGAGTCCTTATCCAGTGTTCTGCTATGTATTAAGTTTTACATAACTGTGTGATAGCTAAATAGTTTCAAGGGAGGCAGTTTATTATGTAAATCTGAATCTTAAAAGCAAGGTTTGAGGTGGAGGGACTAGGATTGTTAATAAGTAGATGGTAAGGGTATAGTCATGATGACTGTTGGTGCTGGATCTATATGACAAGTTGGTCCCATAAGATTATGTCATGCAGCAATGTTCCAGCTGTCTTGATTTGTGTAAGTACACTATGATGTTTGCATAATGATAAATCACCTAATGACTTATTTCTCAGAATGTGTCCCTGACATTAAGCCATACATGACTTTATTTAAAACATGGAAATGGATGAGGTTTTTCCTAATCTAACAGCTTTTATGATATGAAGTAAGAAGACCCGGGAGAAGCGTAAAAGGAGAAAGCAGGCTCTGAGAACATAGGTCTTTATGCTGGAGTATTCATATATACCTCTGTTGTAGATAGTTTTTATAAATAATTTATAGTTGTTAACTTGGTATATAGTCTTTCTCAAATGAATCTGTCCGAAGTTGACCTGTGTGTTCCTACCTGCCCTTTTACAATCATATTTTTTTTCCCAGTTGTGAAAAGAAATATCTCACTCAATTTTCCATGGTACATTGCCCACAGTGTTCCTAATAAATGGTAGTTGGAAATGCTTGTTTTGGGGAAACCTTTTTTAAGGCTAATAGTTAAGCAAAGCAAAAGCCTGTTAAGGGTTTGTCTTTTCCTCTTGTCAACACATTTCTGTTAAGGTTCAAGTGTGGAGATAAAATTGGTCTGTGAGGGAATGTTTTGAGTTAAGATACAAATTTTCCCTACTTGGGGAAATAATTTCAACACTCTCAGTGGATACCTGGATGTGTTGAGCCCTATGTTTACCATGGTTTTCCTACACATACATATGTATAATAAAATTTAATTATAAATTAGGTACAGTAGCACAGTAAGAGATTAATAATAAAATAGAGCAGTTGTAACAATGTGTTAAAATAAAATTGCCAGCCTTACTACTCTTGTACTTTTGGCCATTATTAAATAATATAAGGGTTACTTGAACCCAGACAGTGTCCTATGATGACAGTTGATCTAACAACCCTGCTGACTGCTAAATGGCTAATGGATAAGGGTAGCATATACAGCATGTATACACTGGACACTAAACATTGGACAAAGGGATGATCATGTTCCCAGCTGGATGGTGTGGGGTGGAGATTTCATCATGCTACTTAGAAGAATATGCAGCCTAAAGCCTGTGATTGTTTATTTTGGAATTTTCTGCTTAATGTTTTCAGACCACTGTTGACTGAGAGTGAGACTACAGAAGATAAAACCTTAGATAAGGGAGGCTACTATATATTGTAAGTTGGGGTTTTGAGAGTGGTGGTAAGGTGATCTGGATGGGTTGTTTGATATTGGATTTTACTCTGGGAGTGGTCATATTCTCCAGAGAAAGGCCTTATTCTCCTTCATTGAGGGTAAGGGCTGGCTGGTGGTGTTTGGGTCTCAGTGGAAGGCCAGTACTGGGGGATTTTGCATTAGCATTCAGTCTGGATGGTTCCCATGTGTACTGTTGCAGTGGCTGTCCTTTAGTGTAGGGACTCTATTTTACCTGCTCTGGAGAATACACTTCTAGGTTCTTTCTGGGGGTAGTTGCCTCATGTGGGATAGGATACCTAGAGATACTTCTCTGTGTCAGACACCTTATGTCCAGCTCCAACCCCCTCATGCTTGGTTCGAAAGGTATCAGTTACTGCTTCTTGGGTTTCAATTTTATTTTTAAGGAGACTGCAGGTTTGGTTCTCAAACCTGTCTTGGGATCTTAAATTTTATGTAGTAAAATCTGTTCATTTCTTGGGATTTGGAATTTTGAGTTATACCTGGCAAAACCTAAATTCCTTTGCATCTACTTAGGATTATGAAAAGTGTCATCTGTGTTTTGGTAGTTTTATTTTGTGTATTTTTAAGTCAGTTATTGTGGAATATATTTTTGTTCTTGATGTGGAGATAGGAATTGTTTGCCTTCAGAGGAATAGCTGGTTATCTCAGTACCACTTACTGGATTATTCATTCTACCGTGCTCTGGTTTGAATTGCCACTTATTATGGTTTAAATCTAAAATGTCCCCCTCTTGTGTTCAGAGGTAGCCTCTAGAAGGAGGGGAGGGGTCACTGTGGAGGTAGGGGGTACCTGGAAGGTTGCAATTTGTGCCTATCTCCTGCCTTCTCCCTATGCTTCTTGGCTGCCATAAGTCGAGCAGCTTTCCTTCACCATGTCCTTCTACCATGATGTTTCTGCCTTGGAGCCAACTTACAATGGACCGAACACCCTGAAAACTGTGACCCAAAATAAACCTCTCCTCCTTTAAGTTGTGGTTATCAGGTATTTTGTCACAACTAGGTAATAATACCACCCTGTCATACACTAACTTCGCCTGCTTTGTTTGTTTGTGGGTGATCCTGGGGATTGAACCCAGGGTGTGCTCAGCTATATTTCCTACTCTTTTTTTTTTGAGATAGACTCTTGCTAAATTTCCCCAGGCTGCCCTTGAATTTGAGATCCTCCTGCCTCAGCTTCCTAAGTAAGCAGGATTAAGGGAATATGCCATATACCTAAGTTTATTTATTTTTTTATTATAGTAAAATACACATAACAGAAATCACAGTTTCTTGTTCCCTTAAGATCATTATCTAGAACTACTCATTTGAGGAATGATGACTTGCATAGCCATAAAAACTACTGAAAGGGAGTGAAAGAAGGATGGAAGATTATCCTGTCTTATCATTTTCCTTATCTTCTGGTTCCCTCTAAGTATTGTTCTGCCTGTAGTTCTGCATTTATTGAAGGAGTTGAGGTATAACTCTTGGGAGATCTTGTTTCCTTTTGTGACAGCCCTTTTAGTATTTTTGTGAAGTGTTTCTTCCTTTTCTAAGTGGCTTTTTTTTTTTTTTGTCATTTTGAGACAGGGTCTGGTTATGCAGTTCAGGCTGGCCTTGAGCTCACTTTGTAGCCGAGGCTGGTCTCAAACTCATGCCACCACGCCTGCCTGTCTAAATGGATGTCAGAAACATAGATATTATAAGATATTACTGGTCTAGGAACTTGTTTAAGGGTTCCAACATAATGCATTTGACACATTTTTTAAGTAAGATATCTTATCAATTTAAGTAAATTTATTTACTTCTTGAATTATTTGATTCCTCTTGGTATTTGCCTTTTTTTTTTTTTTAAGACCTGAGCCTTTGTATCTGGTAAATATTTTTGGTAGCATGGTGATTAATCACTTTATTTAAGTTTAGGAACTTTTGTTATAAGAGGCTGTATATCTTGTTTGAGGGATATCATAGCTGCTTATTCAAAGCAGCAGTTATCTGACTGCCAACTTGTAGAGATGCCTCTACTTTATACTCTAAGAAGATTTAGAAGAAAGAATAATGTTGCTTATCTTTGAGATATTTATAATTTGTTAACTGATAGTGTCATCGTTACATAATATTTGCAGAATAGTCAAGCATATAATTCTAGAAAACTAAGAGTTGTTACTCTGACAGAGCTTATATTTTTCAAAAGATGGTCCATACACATAAAGCATTTAATACTTTGGTAGGTTATAATTGCTTGATTTTTTTTTTTTTGTGCTGAGGATTGGCAGAACTTTTATATTTTATTTTGAGACAAGGTCTTGCTAGGTCGATAAATTGCTCAGGCTGGGCTCAAATTTATGATCCTTCTGCCTCAGTCTCTCAGAGCACTGGGATTATAGGCATATACCACCAGGCCTGGCTATCAGCTGCTCTTTTAATTGGCAGTCTATAGCAGGGGAAACAAGTGTTAAGGGTTGGATATAAACTTCTTTTTTTTTTTTTGGTACCTGGAATTGAACTCAGGACCTCACACTTGCGAGGCAGGCGCTATGCCACTGAACTAAATCCCTGGCAAACCTCGTGTTTTTACTATGGCATTTCTAGCAGTAGAACTATTGAAGAAATAGTTCTGAACAGCAACCGTTTTGTAGCCTGCTGAAGTGATCGGACTTCCGGCCACACTGACACTGTGTTCCCTCTCTTCCAGATGTCCTCATTGCCAAGAAGAGCGAAAATACAGGCGCAGACTGCAGTGTCCAAAGATGAATTTTCTTACTTCTCTGAGCCGTAAGCATATTGGTTTATTATGATGGTGGGGAATGGTGAATATTTTAAGAAGTATTGCATTCTGTCACAAGCTTGTGAAGTCACTGTAGTGAAAGAATGCTGTGTCTTTTTCATTTGTTCATACAAATATTTGTTGAACTCATACTGTGTTCCAGGCTCTAATGTTGGTAATAAAGTGTTAAATAGAGACAGAGAAAGTAACTAAGTATATAGCCTATTTAAGCTCCATGAGAAGAGGCAGTTGTTTTTTTTTTTCTTTTTCACTGCTTTAGTGCAATGGTGCTCAATCTCTACACCACTGACGTTGTATGCAGGGTACTTCTTTGTTGTGGGGGTTGCTTTTTGCCTTGTAAGATATTTAGTAGCATCCCTAACCTCTACTCACTAGACATCAGTAGCACCCCTTCCAGGTATGACTGTCAAAAAGTCTTCAGACAGTGCCAGATGGGTGTGTGGGGGAATTGTCCCCATTTGAGAATCTTTGCTGTGGAGGACCGTATTAGGTGCTCTTAAGGTATTTGTTAAAGAAATGAGTGATTACTAGTAGGTGAAAGTAAGTACTATAAAGAAAAAGCAGGGACTGGCCCTGGAGCACGGTGAGTAGCTGGCCAGGCTGTGGCGGTGGATGCTCAGGCAGTTGTTTGGGGGTGTGCCAAGAGGTCTGAGTGAGATCTGGGAATTGCAGGACTGAGATAAGTGTCCCTCAGAGGTCCATATGCAGGGCGTTGTCTCTAGGGTGGCAGTACTGGGACTTTTAAGAGGTGAGGCCCAGGGTGAGATCTCTACGTCTTGGAGACATGCCTCACAGTGAGGACTGTGGGACCTGGGCCTGTCTTCTTTTTCTTTGTTATGTCCTTGATGTGAACATTTGCTTTGACATGTGCTTCTGCCTTTGCCATCTCTTATCCTCATCCAAGGCCAAAAATAATGGAGCTGCCTGATCTTAGATTTGAACCAGCAAAACTGTGAGCAAAAGAAGCCATTTCACTTTATTAAATTAGTTGTCTCAGGTATTTTGTTGTAGTAATGCACAGCTGACAAACAGAAGTGCAGCTTTGTGCAGAGATCTTGGGGATTAGTGTTTTTAGTTACTTTTTCTCGTTGCTGAGACAAAATATGCAAAATCCTAAGTTAAAGGAGGAAAGATTTATTTAGCTCATAGTTTGTAGAGGTTTCAGTCCATAATCAGCTAGCTCTAAGATAGGGTGGCATCACAGATAGGCATTACAGAGGAGAAACAGTTCATGGCAGGAAGAAGGAAACAAAGCAAGCAAGATACAAGCAATAATAGTAGCTTCTTTCTGCCCCTTTTATATTCTATCTAGGCTACTGGGCTTAGGGCGGGTGCCAAAGCAATCAACAGACAAATTTAGTAATCACATACCTCAAATCCCATCATCATACATTCTAGATCCAGCCACCTGTGAAAAAACCCTACCTATGATTGCATGCGGCTTTAGGGGTACATCTAGACACAAACCACAGCATGTGACACAGGAAGGAGTGTGGTGTGTGGGGAACAGCAAGAAGACCAATATGGCCAGCTCAGAGTTACCAAGGCAGAGACAGGAAATGAGATTGGAATGGGTAGGATCTAAGAGGCTGTGAGACAGTGCTAGCGTTTTATTCAAAGTGAGTGGGGCAGCCACTGGAGGATTGTGGGCAGGATGTGACTTGATTTGGCTTACATTTGTAAAATGTTCTGGCTTCTTAGCAGGGAACAGACTCTGTGTGTGTGTGTGTGTGTGTGTGTGTGTGTGTGTGTGTATAGAATACAAGCGGGGGGTGAGGAGGAGGGGTAAGGAAATGGCTGTAGAAGCCTAGGGTTCTAACAGTGAAAATGATAGGAAATGGTCTGATTTTGAAGGTAGGACATGATGGTGATTGATTACATTTGCGGTAGGAAGGAAAGCCTGGCAGCTTGGAAAGACAGGGAGAGGAACAGGTACCCGAGTGAATGTGGAATCAGGAGTGCAGCTCTGGATGTGGTACATTTGCTGTGATGCTAAACCTCCACAGGAAAGTGGTTACGGGAGTCTTGGGCTCAGGGGAAGGTCAAATTGGAGATAAAAACTGAGATTCCAGTATTGGATGATAAGACAGAAGAGCAAGAAGAGAGGGCAGAGGACTTTGCCTAGGGAGGCTCCTTTGAGCCAGTAGGTGGGAAACCAGGGGAGTGGGTTTCCCAAAGGAGCTGCTTGCGGAGGAGCGTCAGAGCTCACCTGTGACGGGGAACGGGCGTTGAAGGGCAGCCTCCGAACTGTTCCTGTGTAACGCATGATTCTAGCACTTGTGTTTTCCTCAGGGTAAGAAAAAGCCCTTTGCTTTCGCTAACATTCCCATGGGCGATAGACTAGGCAGCGCACCTGCTTCGTCGGTGGTGAGCCCGAGGTGGAAGGAGGCCTTCCTCTTTGGTTTGGTAGTACTGTGAGGGAACCCTGGTTTTCTATTTCTGGCTCCTTTATTGTCCACCGGTGTTGTGCTCTTTTGTTTTTTGCTTGGTCTTAGGCTTCGCATCTGCCTGTGAAGAGAACTCAGTTGGAGGAGATCAGTAGTTTGGCCCATCACAATTACGGTTTTCTAGCTGAGAAGTTACCCAGTGAGGTTTTGCCTTGAGGCACAACTTAAACTATTCAAAAACCGGGACATCCCTATTCACCAGTCTCCACGAAGGAAGAGGTCATCCTTCCCACCTACACTTGACCTCTTATATTAGGGTAGAAATAGAATTAACTGGGTGGGGAAGGGCACAGTTTTCCTTCCACACGGTCACATGGCTGCTTTTTCTCTGCTTCTATGTTTATTTACTTATTTTTTTCTTTTCTTTTCTTTCTTGAAACAAGGTCTCCCTATGTAGCCCAGGCTGGCCTCAAACTCAAGATTTTCCTGCTTCAGCTTCCTGAGCACTAAGAGTAGAGACATACACCATTGATCCTGACTTTTTTCCTCGGCTCTTACTGTGAATTTGATTTGTGGTTAGGGAAATACAATAGCTATACCTGATCCTATCTAATCAGGAGAGAAATTCATTCTCTGAAAGGAAAAAAAGGGTTAATACAAACAGCTGGGTCTTGGTGTTGGATTTTTATGTCATTTGGGGTGTTTCCTAGAGCCATTTTCTACTAATATCATTGAATTGAATAACTTAATACAATTTAAGCGATGTAATTAGCATTTAGGCACTTGCTTAGGTGCTATTCATTGTTGAAATTGGAAAGCCCACATGACTGTGGTGTGAGATGTCACCGTTGAATGGCCAGTAGTCCAGGTACCTGTGTACCTGAGGAGAGAATTGCCAAGGGTACACCCAGTGCTAAGTAGAAGATCAGGGGAATGGTAGCAGCAGCCACAGGAGAAAGGGAGAAGGGCAAGCAGGGCTGATAACTCAGGCTTTCAGAATTTAAAGGCCAGACACCTCTGGCATTAGGCGCCTCCCACTGCATCTCCCTGGTGCCAGTTCTCTGCCACCCTAGGCATCTCCTAGGCTTTTGTTACTTCATTTTGTATCTGTCTAGGCTAGCAGGAGCAGGAATAACTGTGGGGCAGTGTTTACAGTGAAGTGGAGGGCAGGGAGTGGCGCTCAGCTCCTTTGTCTCTGCCTGTACTAATTTAACCCAGTAAGTGACTGAAGGCAATTCATGATCTCCTGTGTCATGAACAGATGTGCCACACTTGCTGTCTGGTGACAGAAAGTGAAGAGACCTGCGACTTACTGTGTATGTTAGGGAGGATTTTTATATTGGTCTCTGATGAGCCCTGTTGTTTTAATTCTTTGCAGCTGCTGTTCACAGGTTGGGCTTCTGTCACTCCATTTTATCTTAAATACTTTTGACTATTGTTGTTATTATTTCTCAAGAAGCATGTGTCCTTTTGTTTTTTTACCTCTGACATTTGCTTTTGTTTTTCCTGGAATTTCTTCTGTCCATGTACTGGTAGGTCATCTGCCTCTGAGGAGGATGACAAAGAAGACACTGCTTGGGAGCCTCAGAAGAAAGTTCCCAGAGCCCGGAAGCAGCCTGCTCCCAAGGAGTCCAAACCGAAGAGGGTGCCTCGGGGGAAGAAGAACTCGGGGAACTCAGCGCTGAGCAGTGGTGGCTCAGAGGGTGTGGCTGTTAAGGAGGAACTGGTAGGTGCTGCGGCTGGGTGGGGGCAGGCTGAAGGATTTTCCCCGTGGGGATGCCTCTTCCTGCTTACACAGCGTGGGATAAAGTGTGTAAACGACAAAAATGCAGGGCATTGTTGTCCTTTGTCATGATCTGAATGATACCGCTAAATTCCACCTTGTTTCTTCGTCTGCTTTCATTTTCCTCTCCTATGTCCTCTGCTTATCCTTAGCTGAGTAACATCCTCACCCTTTTTTTTTTTTTGAGACAGGGTTTACTTATGCAGTTCAGGCTAGTTTTGAACTCTCTTTGTAGCCTAGCCTGGCTTTGAACTCACAGTGATCTTCCTGCTTCAGCCTCCCCAGTGCTGGGATTATAGGCGTGTGCTGCCGTGTCTGGCCTCAACTTTTTTTTATATGGTTTTACCATTGGGGCAAGTTCTGTTGTTATCCTGACTATACAGATAAGAAAGCTGAGGCAAGAGAGAGCTAGTGACTTGCTCAAAATACACAGATGGCAAGTGATGGAACCGGTGTTTCCTAGTCAGCATTTCAGAAACTGGTAGACCTCTCATGGGCATTTTACATCAGCCTTGCTCACAAGAGTGGTACATACATCCGGAGTGCTGCTTTAATGGATACTTTGAAATAATTATCACAAGCACTTGTAATTCTTATGGCTAGCAGTTTTTTTCCTTGAAGGCTGAGCTAAGTAGGAAATTAAATGTGAATCACAAATTTGCTTGATGAGCATGGACTCAGAATAGAAGAATTAGATGTGTTCATTTGGGTTTATTGAAGGCCTACTGTGGTGTAGGCGCTGTGTTTGTCACAGTGACAGTAAATACTTTAATTGCACGGTGCTAAGGTATTCTGAAGTAGCCATCTCAGAGCAGGGTTCTCTTACTGGGGAATGAAATACTCAGACTGTCTGCAGAGATTTCTTTTTTCTTTTTTGCATATTGCTTAGGAGAGGTGCTGATCACACTTATTTTTTCTTGTTATCGTTTTTTTCCTGCTCCTCTGTGGCTGACAACTCCCCGTATGCTTGACACATTCTTTCTTTACTTGTGCCAGTTCACTTGGTTAGTATCAATTGTTATATTCTCAGTATTATGTTCCTATCTCTGTTCTTTGTTTTTGTTTTTGTTTTTTTCTTGTCTTGCTGTATGGCCTAATTCAGTCTGGCCTTGAACTCACTGTGTAGCCCACACTAACCTTGAGCTTGTGACCTTCTATCTCAGTCTGTAGAGTGCTGAGATTACAGGCATGTGCCACTGTACCCTGCTCCTACCTCTGTTTTGGTCCATTGTGTTTCAAGTAAAATATGTAATATTCAGAAGGCTATCTAGCGTACATCATTTTCATGCTCACATGGGGGTAGTGGTAGGTGGGCATTAGGGTGAAAATGCTCTCATTGTAGTTTTTTCTCTCTCTTTTTTTTTTTTTTGAGACAGGCTCTAGCTATGAGGTTCAGACTGGCCTTGAACTCACTATGTAGCACAGGCTGGCCTCGAATTTGTGGCAGTTCTCCTCCTGAGTGCTAAGACCACAGGCATGTGCCACTCTGCCCAGCTCAGGGCAGTTGGTTTTTAATCTTCTAATTCTCATGTCTTTCTGTGGTTTGATAGAATAGGTCCATAGCTATTGCTGATGTTGATTTGGAAGAGAATATATTGGATACTGCACAGACTCTGAAGACAGCAAAGACAAAACGGAAAAATTCAACTCAAAGGACAAAAAAGCTAAAAGTTGATGAGGAAACCAGCAAAGTGAGTGACTTAGTGGATGGTACAGAGATACCATCAACAAGCACCATGGGGGAAGGTGTCTGTAAGAAGGAGGAGAATGAAGACGACTTCACATTCGGCCAGTCTCCATTAAAGAGAATGAAGACGGAAACGTGCCCTCAGGGGCAGCCTGTCAAGTTTCCTGCAAGCAACGCCATTAAAGAGGAGGTAGAAATGAACTGGGACATAGTACAGGTATGTGCGGCAATTGTCTGGTGCTTCAGTTGATTTCTTTCTGTTTGAATATTGTAGGGATTATGCTGGCTAAGGGGAGGGTTGGGAATGATTTCTCGAGGTTTTGGTCGTGGGTCGTGTGTTCTTTTCCTGGGTGCACTGTTTTGTTTCATGGCTTATTATGGTATGTTCCTGGCTGAGAGCTGTGACCTTGGTTGTTTTAGTAACTTTTCTCTTGTTACTGAGACAAAATATCCAATGCTCCAAAATAAGGACCGAAAGGTTTGTTTAGCTCACAGTTTGTGGCCGTTTTAGTCCGTAATCAGCTAGCTCCAAGGCAGGGTTTCCTTAGCACAGTTCATGGTGCTAGAAGACAGCAAAAACAACAAGAGCAAAAAGGGAGGAGCATGAGAGAAGACTTTTTCTGTCCCTTAGATTGCATGCAGGCTACCTGCCCTAGGGCGGGTGTAGTACTCCCACCTGTAATCCCAGCACTAGACAATGAATCAGTCACAAACTGTAGATTCAGGTGCCTCCAAAAAGCAACTCCCTATGATTGCATGAGGCTTTTGGGGAGACATCCGGAGACAAACCATAACATTGGTCAAGGTGGGTTTTTGCGCATTGTGATAGTCAACTTTCTGTTGCTGTAACAGATTCCTGAGCTAAATAAACTTAGGAGGAAAGGTTTATTTTGGCTCAGGAGCTTGGGGGTTTTAGTCTATGGTTGGTTGGTCCCATTGACTAGGCAATAGATCATGGTGGGAGTGCATAGTGGAGAAATGTGCTGACTTCATGGAACCAAAGAGACTAAGAGGAAAACTAGGGTCCCGTGTGTCCTCTTTTGGTGTGCCTCCCAGTTGGCCTGAGACCTAATCAGCCCCACCTTTTAAAGGTTCCATCACCTCCCAGTAGGTGGCAGGGCACAGGAGCAGCACTTCAAGGCAGCAGAAGACAGCAAAAACAACAGGAGTAAAAAGGGGGACAGCAAACCCCTTTTCCTCCCTTATATTATAAGCAGGCTACCCACCCTAGGGCAGGTGTAGCACTCGTACCATCTCCTCCTGCATAAGATGAGGATGTTTACAAAGTGGCCTCCTGCTGAGTGGCTTAGTTAAACCTCTAAACTTCTCAAATTGACACAATGTATCAACCATTACAGTCTCAAAGATCACTTGTTCATGAAAGTGACTAACTTTTGGGCTTGTAGGCATCAAACATGCAGGATAAGAGTAGTGCAGGTTTTGATTACAACCTCAGAGGTGTCTGTGAGTATGACCTGAGACTTGCTAAGTTGTTCCCCTGTTAACCACAAGTAACCTTTTGTCTCCAGAATAACCCTGTCCTGAGGGGAGTCAGAACTTGTAGTCTCTGTCCTAGCTGTTGGATCAAGACACCCAAAGCAATTCCTCTCCTTTCTGAAATGTAGAGGGAGGGAGAAAGATTTTCTTAAGTGAGGTGTTCTCAGTGCTGGTGCCTGACTAAGGGACTGTTTTATTTTTGTAAAGGCATTGTCAGTCACTTTTGTCCATTATAAGGTCATAAACTGAGGGCCTTTGCTGGAATTTGAGAATTGCTCCACATTTGTTACTAAATCTCAACGAGTAGCACACTGTGGGACAGTTGAAAACTCATAGTTAAGGATTTGGCCTTCAAAGTGACATAGATGTCGGAGCAGGAGTACTCTCCAAGTAGGACTCCATCTATGGTGATAGATCTGGAGGAGGGTTTTCCAGAGAAAGAAGTCAAAGCTGAATTAGCCAACCTGTGATGTTCAGGGTTCTTCACAGGAGATGGTAACATCCGTGGACAGGGGCACTGTAGTTTTCCCTGAGCTTCTTCAGAGCAGGAAACAAGGGGCTAGCAGGGGCTGCCTAGCCCCTCTCTGGGCGCAGGGAGTCAACCTTCCAGTGCCAGGAATCAGGCCCATTGCCTTCCTCGCACTCAGAGCAGGGCCCAGGCAGTGGCGTTACGTAGTTGTGTGCCCAGTGTCTGTCTGCTTGCACTTGGTCATCCTTGGGTTTTCCCGCAGACGGTTTGGGTGAGCTTAAAGCATTGCTCGTTGTAACAGCCATAATTCTAGCTTTTCTCTTTTGGCCTTCCTGTAGATCTCGATTGTTGAACATAGAAAAAGCCCATGTCCAGCAACTGAGTTATAGGTGTCTGTGGTGTCACCTCAAAGTCCTTCATTAAACAGATGGGAGAGACCCATATCCCCCTGAGAGACAGGTGGGATCCAGTAAAGCATCATCAAAGATAGCTCTCTCTTCTTGGAGAACACTCTAAATACCATAGTTTCTGGGCTTTTCCTGAGATAAAAGTCACAAAAGCCTGTACATAAGGAATTTTACTCCACCTTTATGTTTTAAGCATAAAACGTAAAGATAGTCTCACGATTTAAATTGCCATTCTGTCTCCCTGTCTTGTCAATTCCTAGCTCATACCAAGACAAAACTATATTGCAGTAGTAGAGAAACTCTTCTTTTTTCAAATTGGCAGGGCCAAACCTTCACGGCCTGGTGGCGAAGTCAGTGGAATCTGTGGGGTGTGGTTCTGGAGGTTTCCTGTGGCTTGTTGTGGGCCGTGTGTAAAGAAAGAGACAGCTAAGTGTTGAGTCCCTGGGATAGTGTCTCATGCTGAAGGAGACCCGATCTGAGCCCACAAAACATCCCTGTGAGGCTCAGGTATTCACTAGACAGACCCCTCTCTGAAGCTAGGATGATGCTGGCATCCTTCATAGGAACGTGGAAGAAAGCCCTACTGAGGGCTTTTGATCTCCATGTTGGCCCCACTGACTCCTTGGGGAGAGGTGTGTTGAGTTGCTTGATGGCTCTACCCAGACCTTGAAAACTCCCATGAGATCAGGGTGGAGTCACTGCCTGTTAGCCCTGTTGAGACACTTGATAGCTCTGCTTGTAAGTAGGTTGTGACCACTTGGGAAACAGTATCTCCTACATTTACTGGGATAGTAAAAATTCTGGAGCTTTGTTTAAGGCAGTAGAGATGGGGATTTTAAGAAAAAAACTAAAAATCCTGAGAATGTCTCATAATCACTTGAGTTAAGCTTTACTGGCTGTTCATTTGTTCTGCTTAGGCCATCAGGCATATGTTTTTAAATTACCCGCAAAAGTTAGAAGAAACAAGGAAAGGAAACAAACATGGTGGGGTCCATGTGGCTGAACCAAATAGGCTGCTAGTTACGTGACAAGAAAGATGCTGGCCAGTTATGTGGTGCAACAAGATGGGGGCCCAGACTAAGAGCAGCGTGACAACGAAATGGCCACCTAAGGGACAAGTGCAGACGGGGCTTTGAGCTCAGAAAGGAGTAGGCAGAGACGAGGCTAATTTCCTGAAAGAGTAGCAAAGTATCACAGGGAACAGAAACATGAGATCAAAAAGACACAGTAAACTCTAGGTCACACATGTGGTACCTAAACGCTCTGTTCTGCAGTTGGGTTACTGATAGGGTCTGGCTGTTCCTTACTGACTTGCCTTAGCAACGAGTGACCAAAAACGGGAATGAGAAGAAAGGGGAGATAAGCTTTAGGCAGGACCGTAGACTTCATTCCCCTCCCACTCCCACGCTTATGGTGGGAAAGGATGGGAACAGTTCCTGGTGCTGTGAGAAGAGCGGATGCTCCAGCCTAGGGGAGGACAGTGAAAAAAGAAGGGAAGGGGAAGTGGGAGGGGAAGAACCTTTGTGGCATTTTAGGGGGAAACAAACAAACAAAATGTACCAAAGGGCAGGGCTTTGGGAACTGTTCTGTGCATCTTGTCACACCTCCTTTCCCAGCCAGTTTTAGCCATACTTTATTAGTTCCTGTCTTAGGATTTAGTGTTATCCAGATGTGGGCCTGGAAGCCAGGCATGACATATGCCTGTAACACCAGCACTTGGGAGGCTGATGCAGGAGGACTGTTATGAGTTCAGGGCCACCCTGAGCTACGTAGTGAGACCCTGTCTCATAAAATAAAAATAAAAACACACACACAAAAATACAGATGTGGGCTTGGAGTCTAAGCTGTCTTAGATTCCTTTTTCTAACTATAGCTAAACTGGTTTAGGGTAGACTGTGGGTTGCCCCAACCCACACACAGTTCCAGATCCATGAGTGTTTTAGTCATATCCACTCTCCCCTTGGTGTTTCAGAATTTTACCTATCTTTCGTGGGCCAACGGAGTGCTACTTCTACAGCAAATCTTCCTTGATTTTTTTATTATTTATTTATTTATTTTTAATTTTTATTTTAAAGAGTAAAAGAAGGATAACATAATAATGGGGGGGGGCTTACCGAATTACAGACAAAGTGGTAGGAAATTATCAATGGTTATTGTTATCTACAAGATAGTTTCTCAGGGAAACTCATAGACAAATAATAGT